ACATTTTAATTGACGCAATACTTGTGAACCTATCGTGATTTTAAAAAAGTTCATTTTTTTTGCACACCACTGTATATTAATTTATAATACGCGTTTTAAAATTTTTATATAGTAAAATTGAACGAATAATCTTTCAAAACTAGTAATCCAAAATTAATAAAATATAACTCATTTGATTTGTCTTTATAAGAAAAATCAAAATCATAGTTATTTATCTCAAATAGATTAATATTGATAAAATATTAAAATTTAATTATTTTGGATCAATTTGTTAGGTTCAATCCATCAAAAATTCTAGTTAAAATTATTTACTTTGTCATGGCATTTTCTGATCATTATTTATTTAAATCAATTCTTATCTCAAATGTAATTTTAATAGCTTAGCTACATATTATTAAGTTTGGACTACAGATATTTAATATATAATACAAATTTAAGTTTATATCACAAGTATTTAATATACAGTTAACTCTATAAATATATCATCTATAAATGTATATCTTTTATAAATGCACTATTTTATCTGATTCTAACTTGGGTTTTAGTACTAAATGCATACTTTATATATATATATACTCTATGTAAATGCATAATATATAAAAAAATTTCATATAGATTACTTATAAATTTTTTATATTACCTTAATTTTAGATTAATATTATATAGATTTATAAATACATACCCTCTTTAAATACATTCTTATATCTAATCTCAAGGGGAATGCATTTATAAAGAGTTGACTATATATACAAATTTATCTAATGTATGTATAGTATAGTGATAATCTAAATTTAGTGAATATAATAAAAGTAATAAAAGTATTAAATATAAAATTATAAAATTAATTAGTTAATTATATAAAAATGATTGTATTTTTGAAATGATTGTGAATATTTTTTTTTTATTTGTGTCTATTATATCGAATTTATTGATAATAAATTTTAACAATTAAAATCAATTGAAAAATTAATTTTTAAAACATGATTAGATTGAAAAATTGATACAAATAAATTTCATTTTATGAATAGCATAGTAAAATAATCATTTCTGATTTCGAGACTAGTACAAAAGTACCTTACTCTTTTCTTTTCCTATGTATTTATTTGCAGACTAAGCAACTAAGAAACTTAATATCTCGTCAGACACCTTGTGTCATTAGTTAAAGTAAGGAAAATTACGTCTTCTTCTGGTTCTCGCCTTTACGATATATTTCTATTTTTCCAGAGTTAACATCCCTAATTCTGATTACATCACTACCGCCACTGCCATCATCACCAAAAAGAGTTTCTTTATGCTCAGATCTCCAGTGTCAAGCAAAATGAAGACCTTGAATAACAGAAACAACTACTTAGCTCCTGATTCAAATTTATGAACTTGTCAGTGACATCGATTCAGGTGTCAACTAAAAATGACTGGGACTTATTAAAACGATAAGTTGCGAAATGATCTCAGAAATTGTGGTTATCTATCGTGACTGACTCTTCCATCTGCTTTCAATCTCATCCAGCATGTGCTCACTTCACACTACAAAACTTGTGGTACTCTTCAACGATACGACCTTTGATGAACATGAACTTTCCCAGGATTTCCTTGCGATTAATACTGTTTTCATCAATGAAAACGTCTAAACATGCAAAATAAGCAGGAAGAGGAAAGCCAGTGTAACAAGGGCACGCATTAAATGAAAATATTCAGAAGAAACTCTCAATCGTTCACTAGTCAAGGTGTATTGAAACGTTGGTTGGATTAGCAAGGTTTGCTTAAAATTCTGTTGTAAAGTGGGGCAAAAGGATTTATTTCACAAAGGGAGATGGCATCAAAAAAAAGAAATATACAAATTCTATGAATTATCAACAAAAACTTAGTAAATGATAAGAAACTTATCAATTCGGCTATCAAGGGTGAAAGAAAATTTTTGAGAATTGTAGTTCGTTTAAAATGCTATATTAAAAGTTGCTCCTGCAAATATAAATGATGAAACAATTAATGAAGCTTTAACTGCTAGAAATGAGGTTATTAAGCGAAATACTCAACATGCACGATGTGAATCCATCATTTCGAACTTATAAAGATTTACAAAAATTATTTCCATCCGTGCCCAAAATTTTTCATCTTCAATATGGGATCGTTTTTACATCACCTACCTGCAAACTCCATCAAGATATACTCGCCACAAGCCTATCACAATAAACAGTAAAAAGCGTGCATTATGGTTTCTTCATTTTGAAAGAAACGTAAAAATAATAAATGACCTATTCACCATAAGGCGTTTTGAGCAATTTCGCCAAACAAATGAGTGGAAATTTGCATGGGTCTATGAGATACAAACATCTCCGCGGATGGAATTCATGCGGTCTCTATTGATCCTGGGTTAGAACACCATTCACATAACAAAAGTGTAAGTAAGATAGGTGAACATGACATTGGGACCATTGTTCGTCTTTGCACCTACATGGACAATTTAATATCACAAAGAAGCAAGTTTATTAGGTTAACTTCCAAACGCAAAAATAAGGTTAAAAGACTTAATAAAGCACTGGCATGTATGAGGCGATAAATCTTTTCGTTTGCAAAATGAAATACAAACAAAAGTAGTTTTATTTTTCACTCGTGAATTTGATGCTATCTTTATTCCACCTTTTAAAGTGTCAAATATAACAAATAGAAAAAACAAGAAAATTTACACGAAAAACAGTTCGAATTGTTGAACTGTAAAAATGGCGCTTGGGGAATTTTTTTAATAACGGGTTTTGCAGATCAATTTTGTAACGTATACGACTTAAACGCAGTGTTGGCATCACAATTTTTTGGCCGAACGACAAACGGTCAACCTCCTACCAAAATGGCCAAATTGCTAAATACAAACTCTGCCGTTCTGATATATATTTATATTATACATAGGTAAGACAGAAAGCAGTGGAGTCTGGTTGACCAAATGAGAGGAGCACGGTGCTAAAAAGATGATGTCTATTGGTACAACATACATAATAGTACGTATCTTTGGATTAAATTAGGATTAAGTTTAGGATGAGGGTTAGAATTAGGGTTGGAATATGGTAAGGATTAGGTTAAATGGGTATCTATATATTATAGGCGGATGGACATCAGTAATAGGTAATACTAAGTATTGCTATTATTTCCTGCATGATCTCCGGAAAGAATCAAAGCTCCATCAAGCAAAGCCCTGTAGAATCTATCATTATTTAATTTTTCATTTTTTTAATATAGCATTACTTTTTAGACATTATTTAAAAGCAAATTTAAACAAAGTATATCGGAGTTTATTTTTAACAATCAAACGTTAAAATGATGGCCCAAAACAAGTTAAACGAGATCGTCACATTTTTCAAATAGTTTTAAATAAAACAATCAATGTTGATAAAATGATGGTAATTAAATGGAAATGTAAAAATCAGTTATAATTTAGAAAAATCTTATATGATGAATAAACTTCTAATTAAGCGCAGCATTCACATGCTTACTACAATAGATCGAAAAATTAATCCACGTTAATAATCTATTGAAATGGAATATTCTAAGCAGGAAATGAACAGTCAAAGAAATCGGTTTGTCTCATTCGCATCCTCCGGAATAATAGAATTGTCATTATACTTATGAAATATCGATCCCTTGATAATAAATGAATATGATCAATGAAACTGAAGGTTCATTGTTATGAATCTTTAAATGTCTTTGAGACTCTTTTTTTTTTTTAAAATATTTATCGAACTAAGTAAGATTTTTATTAAATATTTCGGGTAAATTTGGCTATAAATACGATGTTTATTTTTCGATCCTTCGATATTTCTTAAATGATGGATAGAAATCAAAATCAAATAATCTTTCATTTCTTTGATCCTGAAACATTAAACACATCCGAGATTAAACCGAAGAAGAGAACCCCAAATATGTTCATTTCATATCGTAATGAAATGATGAAAGATCGACCACTTAATATACCAATGACAAAATTTAGTAGAATGGTGTCGAAAGAATGGAAAAAGCTATCAGAATATGAAAAGGCTAAATGGCAAAGAAAATATCATATTAGTCGAGATGCAACAGATATAGCAAAATGTGAAAACCTCAAATTGCAAGATGAAAAGTCACAAAGCGGAGGTTATGCGTCAGAATCTGAAGTTGCATTATTAATATCTCCTTATCCTGAGATCTTGAAGAATGACTTTTATCTGCCAATGATTATATAAAGGTTTCATATATACACTAACAAATTTTTATATAATTAAAATTTTTCTTGACCGCTTTACTCGAAATTATTTGAAATTATTTTATTTCGCTCGTAAATTTATGGTATTTTTGTATTTTCCAATCGATGCTTGTCAAATCTTTTTCTTTACTCGTTTTTTTCTTTATTTCAAATTCGTTCTTTATTCGAAACTTTTTTTTTATTCGATTTTCTTTATTCATACTCGTTCTTCATTAGAGGTTATCATTTCTTCTATTCGTCAACTCTCTTTATTTAGTGTTAGAGATTATTTTTCTTTTATTCATATTCGATTAATTTCTTTGCTCGATATTATTTTTTTTTCTGTACCGTATTCGAAATATCTTCCCGAATTTGTTTATACTTTTTTTTTAACTTTGACCAACAATCTTTCATTTGGTCTCTATGTTTATATGATCCTTATTATGATGTAATTTTGACTTCTATTTTATTTTATTAAAGAATGATTTATAATATGAAAAAGTTACCAGTTTTGTAAATAATTGTAAATAACGTTGATTAATGCATGCAGACTTTCTTAGAACAAATGTTTGCTATATGGAATTTCTTTATTTAAAATAATGATTATGCCATTTAATCTGAATATATTCCTTTTTTTTATTTTTGCTAATTTTTTTTTTTTTTTTAATAAAAATATAGTTTAAAGTTCAGATCAAACTTCCAATATAGGAAATTCTGATAATATAGAATGACCCTGCATATATTAATGTTGAACAAAATCTTTAATTTTTGACAATAAGAAATTTGTGGCACACTATTCACAGAATAAAATCTGCATTTTCATTTAATGATCGTTTACGAATCTAACTTAATTTTAAAACTTTTTAGAAAAGAAAATTAATAAATTTTATGTTAATTATTTATTTTTGATTTTAACATTATTTTTATTTTTTTTTTCCGAGTAATCGTATTTAAATATCGATCAAAAAAAAATATAATTCCATGAATATTATACGTAAGTAATGTGCAGTTATAAAATTGAAATTTAAAGACATGAATGAATCTCAATCAATAAAGAATATAAAATTAATTATATTCTTGAAAATATTTATCTCATTTATTTTTCATTTTAGATTAAAAACCATGATCATCACGCGTGTAACGTCGCATTAAAAATAGATTCATCGGAAGAAACCAAATTTTTTTTTTTTTGTTTAAAACGGCGTAAAATTAGAACCTCCGGTAGAGATGAAATAATTGCTACGGATGATCAATACAACTTTCTTGACAAAAGCTTTATTTTAAGATAATAAAGACATGAGGAGTCGTAAATTTATGTGATTTTAAGAAATTTTAATTTTAACATGAAATAGATACCGCATAATTAAGAGTCGATTATTTATTTATTTTTTTTTTTTATTATGCATCGAAAAAATTCCAATTTTCTAACGGAATAAAATTCAAAAAAATAAAATAAGATCGATTATAGTAAATCTAATCAATTATAAGTTTAAAATTTCCTAAAAATCTATTTGTATAAACCCTTGCGAGACTTTAAAGATATGAACGAATTAAAGTTTTAAAACACCTTCCAATCCCTTTTTTTAGGAATTTGTGTGATGGCGTAAAGACAAGCAATGAAGCGGCATGATTTTATCGATCAATCTGATAACTTGTTGTAATATAAATATCGTTGAATATCTTGATATTTCTCAAATCATGAGTAATAATAAAATGACATTCCATTTTTTTGAACCTTTGATAGCAAATGCATCAGAAAATAATAGTAATCCTAAAAAGAGGGAACCAAATATGTTCATTACATATCGTAATGAAAGGATGAAGGATAGGCCACCCAATATAACGATGACCGAATTCAGCAAAATAGTATCAGAAGATTGGAAAAAACTGTCAGAGGAAGGAAAAGTTAAATTACAAAGAAAATATCAAATTATTAGAGACCAAAAGATGCAAAGCATTGTAAGCGATTGCGTAGTCATTTCCGATCAAATAGGGAAACCTCAGACTGTAACCGATAATGAAAATCCAAAAGATAAAAAAACTAAATTACAAATTAATCGATTACAAAACTTAATTAACGAAGACAAACCCGAAGTTGAATGTTTGAACTTTAACATTTCGAAAGAGTAGATGAGGTGAGTATTGATCAGAGAAATTGATGTAAAATATTTATAATGAAAATTCTGACAAAACTCGATTTATTAATTCATAGTTACATATTTTTCGCATATGCTTGTACTTCTCTTCCCATTTTACTTTTATTTCCTTTCTTGATGAAACGATGCAAACAAAATTTTGGTCCTAGGAACTCTTAAAGACATGAACTAGATAATATTTTTTAGTTTCTCCCCAAGCGATTATTTTTTTTTGTAATACGTATGCCGATTTATACAAATTTGGAATTACTTTATTAATTTCCAAATTATCCAAATATAGTTATAATATGTATTTACGCCTTATTATGTACAGTACATAAGATGAAGAATAATTCTAAACTATTATGGCAAATTTTGAAAATAAATAAAAAAATTTTTTTAATAAAGAATCTTTTATTTTTTTGTGAATATATTTTTTTAACTACAAATGCCAAGGGAAGTGAGAGTAATATAATATCAAATGGAGAAGTTTTAAATCGAGAGATATCTTCTTTTGAATCAACATAACATTTATCCAACGACGCCAATATTATTTATTTGATTTTGGGAAGACAACGCAGTAAATGCTTTTGCGATTGATTGTGCGGCGCTTAATGTATTTACCCCATTTATTGAATAATTGCACATCAATCTCTTTCCAAATCGATTAATCGCGATTATGCATGTTGAGGAAACAAAATTCCGAAATCCGTGATTTGAACCCTATTTTAGAAATTAACAAAGGTTAGAGAGATTTATTTACATTTAATTAGAATTAAATGAAATCAATTCACTTGCTAAAAATTTCTTTTTGTATATCAAATATAGTTAGTTTAGTTTATCATAAATAGAATATTTGTTCTAAAATATCACTTATATAATATCTTAAATTAGCAATTTTTAGTGATATTAGTTAACCATTTGAATAGAGTTTAACTACAATATTTTCAAATAACTGAGCTGTATCTGTTGTAACTAGATTTTGATTTAATGTTAAAAAATATTTTGAAATTCTTAATTCAATGGGAATTTAATAATTTTAATTTGATAAAAATTTATGACTATTTCACATCAAGTTCAAGTATATACTATTGAAATATTAATTAAAATTTTTATAATAAATTATTTTTTGAAATTTTAAATGGTACCTTAATATAATAAATTATTAATATTAATATATTAATTATATTAAGTTAATTAAATAATTATAATAATTAAATTAAGTATAACTGAAAATAAAGTAAAACTTAAAAATATCAAGAAATGCTTACATTAGATGAAATAATATTCTAAAATGAAGTAATTACAGTATATTAAATAAATAATAATTATTATTAGTTTTGATATACTATAATAAATTATTTACTTTATTAATATAAAATAAAAAGATTAATTAATTAAATTTAAATTATTAGTAAAAATAAACTAATTTTAAATAATTTTTCTAGAAATAAATTTATAAATGTATTTAATATATTATAAAAATTTTTTTATAACAAAATATTTATATAAAGAACTATTAATATTATAATTCAAATAATAATAAAATTAATTAATTTAAAATTTTAAAATTAAAATAAAATTTTATACTTTTTAACCTTAATAATAAAATTAATTAATTTAAAATTTTAAAATTAAAATAAAATTTTATACTTTTTAACCTTAATAATATTATATAAATAATCTTAAACTTTAAATTATTACTTATTAAAACATAACTTTTAAAATATGTTAAGCTTTATTAATAAACTTATATTT